GTGTGACGTCATGGCGCGGGGAGGGGGTCGGGGCGCGGGTGCCGCTCGCTCTTACGGCCCTCATGGCCCCTGACAGCCCCCGGGCCCCATCGCCCCCGCGGCTGCAGCACCCGCCGCACGGACGGGGGGGTCCCGCCGCACAGGTGGGACCCGCGTTTGCACGAACCGGGCTGTGGCAATAAAGAACCTCTGCGGGAACCGGGCTCGCACAGCTTTGTCCAGTGCTTTATTTTTCATTCTGTATATTCCAACAGGATGTAAGTATTTTCTGCGGCACGATCTGAACCGCCTTTGTTATTGGGAAAACAGGTTTTTTTATCCCTACAAGTAGTGAATTCGCGTTTTGGGAGCGCGCCTCCAGACGCTCTTCAGGCGCTGCCGTTTCTCGGTGCAGCGCCTGAAAACCAAGTGCGAGACACCGGGAGGATTGTGAAACGCCTGAATGCTTACCTGATTCATTGTTCCGTGGTTTTTAACGTGTTGCACGTGTGTGCTTTTCCAGGTTTATGGAAACTTGGCTGCTTTGTGGAAGAAAGCAAAGCTCTCCTGAAGGAATTAGGCAGGAACTCTTGTAGGTTTGTTTTTTTTTTTTTTCTTCTAGTGTTTATGTCTGTCAAGCTACTTTAGCACACATGCAGCTTCTTAAAACTCATTGACCGAGGTAAGTTATGGAATTGTTCCCCAGACAGAGAAAAAAACTGTCAGAGCAGAATTATCTGATGAAATGGTTTAAGGGTTGGCTATAAAACATGAAAGCTGACAACACTTTACCTTGTTCCTGTCTCCAGACAAATTTAAAAGGAAAAAAAATCAAGAAAAACAGTGAGAATAATTACATCTAATTAATTATGTCTGATAATTACATCACTGCACAGTGCTGTCTTACAAGGTGAGAAACATTCCTGTGGGTCTGTGCTCCATCTCATACCAACCTTTAAAAAATATTTAAACCACCATGTGCTCTTTGGACTGCAAACAAAAAGCTGATAAATTTAAACTGTTCTCTAAATTTCACACAGCTAAACGTGGGCACCCATTTTTTCCTTTTGCAGGCCCGCGAGGCTGAGTCCCACACGGGTCACTCAGTAAGAATTTTTAGTATATGGGTGAGTGTTCACTTAGCTTTGAGCTGAAATAGTCTAAAAAGCAATCGTGAGAAGTTAACATAAAAGCAATTAAAAAGTGCACAAGGAAGAAAATTGCTGGTGATGGATTTCTTCCTGAGCTGGGGGAAATGCTTTGGCTACTCCAGCAGCATTACCTGATGGAGGTGTTGCCTTTGGATGCCGAGTGGTTGGTGTCACACAAGGCCACGTTGCCCAGGTGTGACAGCTTAAACTGAATAAAAGTTTACCAGGCATAAAATATGGTGGCCTTTGTACCAAAATATTGTAATAGAGCAAACCGTTTAAGAACTTGAGAGGATACTTGGGTTGGTTTTGGGGCTAGGCAGCATGTGAGCGTAGCTTTCTGCTAAAGGACAAGATCCTGGGGCACAGGTTGGGGGTTAGTTGTGGTCCTGATAAGGAAGTTTCCTGGAAGACACCAAACAGAAATGGGCTTTTGCTGAAGAAAGGTGGTCCATTCCCTGGCATCCAGGAAATGCCAGTAGGCATCTGGCCTACTTGAAGGGTCCTGCTTACCTTCCAGGCAGGAGGGAGGGTAGTGGCTGCTTTTTTATAGGCTGAACTTTTTTCTTTTCCTTTTTTTTTTTTTTTTTTTTGGGTTTGGTTTGGGTTTTTTTCCCTATCCTTGAGCAAATAATGCACTTGTTAAGAGCAGCCATAACATTAACTAGGATCACAAGAAGCAAGGTGGATGTATCAAACCTGTCAGTTGTCCACACTCAGCACAGGGGGAGAGTGGGCATGGGTGCTGCCTCCCGTTTGAATTGCATGAGAAGAATCTGTCTGAAACAGGATTTGTGTGTAGATCTGGATCATACAAAGTTGCATAGTGAGCAAGGATATCACTGCATCAGCAGTTACTGGAACAATTGAGAACTGTGCTGTAACTCTGTTTCAGATTGAATGGGCTCAGGAAAACATGAGCATTAGTCTGCCAGCAGCCAGGACCCAGTAGCATGATAATCCAAGCAGAGCATTTACAGGTATGTTTGTGATCAGAAATTCCAGCCACAAGTTCAAAAGTGAAAGTTCCCTTTCATAAGCAAGCATTCTTGATTTTCACCCATGTATCCAGTATGGATCCTTATAGATTCTGGGATTAAATTAATAATTCTGAAATACATACATGTAACATCAAAACCATGATGTTTGACATATGAGGAGAAGAAACTTTGCACTTGAGACCTGAAATGATTTACTGGCAAGGTAATGGCCTGAAAACAGATCAGGGCATCAGTCATTTCAGACCTGGGAGACGGACTTTTTGATCAAGAAAGAGCAAGAGAAGTACACTGAGTGTTCACATGAGGAAATGCCCTACAGCCCCTGGTAGCCTTCCACAAAGCACTGCATGTGTTTGACCTGCCTGTCTTCCACATTTTGGACAGGCTGGTTAAGGTTGTGTATGTTTAGATTATCCACTATTGCATTCAAAAAATGCTGAGGAGTAGCTGAGTGTGAGCTTGGGCACTAGAAAACTTATTTCTTAAAATTTTGTGGAGTTTTCAAGTTTTATTTGCCTGGGATCTTCTCAGGGTTTACTCATACAGTCTGCACAGCATGAAACACAGGGCAGGTAAGTTGTTCAAAAGTTGGTTTTGGAACAGTAGTTATCAGTTATCCAAAGAGCCTTTATGTTGTGTTCATTTAAAAGTTTGATGTAAAAGGTACACCATGATGAAGAACAGGAAATTTCAGTGGTTTGACAGTGTTCTGTTATCCCACAGATGTAGGAAGCACCAAATCCTGTTCCTCAGATTTCGATTTTACAGGACCCTGGGTGCTTTGATCTGTAACCCCTGCAATAATTCCCTCCCTCTTAAAAAGTTTGAGAGTGACACTGATGGTGAGTGTGAGCTGTTAGTATTCTGTAAGAGAGAATACTGCAGGCCTTACCAGGTTTCTGATAAACTGCCATATTGTTTATGAGCTGAAAATAGTTCATACTTTGGGCAGTAGAAATTTGTTTTGGTTGAAATGAAAAGAGAATGTGTTTTGATCACAACAGGCACAGACATTTTCACTCCTTCTAAAAACTGGCAGTGAAAAGAACCCTAAAAAGCCATTAGCTGACCTGGAATAGGTCTGGATGACTTCTTGCAAAAGTCTATCATTAAATCAGCTTGGAATCTACCATGTTGCAGGGTAGGCTGCAGCTGCAGATCTCAGGTGTAGCACACAAGTTGTGCCACACTGTAATTAGGGAGGCCAGGTTTCCCACAAATGCTTGTCTTAACAGGTGCCTGATGTTTGTCTGGGAAGATAAATCTCCCACTGCATTTTTTTTTTCCCAGTGGAATTGTTTTTAAGTTCCTTCACAGTGTCAATTCTCCATTGCTCAATTAGATGGGGACTCTCACTGCCACCTTTCTTCAATGAAGCCACTTCTCTTCAAAAAGCAGTTGGAGCTTATCTCAGGGATCTGTACCTTGCCCCTCACTAATTCTGTTGGAGTTGACTGCCAGGTTCAAAAGTTCCTGGGAGAGTTACATGTAGTATGAACACGGAAAAACCTCTTTTCCTTGGGCATCAGGCTGAGAGGTGCCTCTTTGGAATGAGGAATTTGCTTTCACTGCCCTTGAGACATGGTGACCACATCCCTTTCCTCTGACACTTGGCTCATACTGACCTGGGGCCAGTAACCAGACAGGTCTTGGTCAAGGGAAAGAGTCGCTTTCCTCATCTGTAATTAGACTGTATTCATAATTAAACAGAAATTATGGTAACACTACTGAAGATGGGCATTAAACTAAACCAAAGCTGACCCAATCTGATACTGTCGGAATTATCACAAATTACCTTTCAAAATCAACTTCCAAAGGGGAAACAGTCCCAGGTAAGTCTGAAAACATCAAAAGAGAGAGGAATATTTTAAAATTACACAAACCCTTATTTAATAGCTTCTTTAGCTATTCCTTGCCATTCTGCTGATTTTCCCCTTCCTTGTGTACCATGTATCTGTGTCTTGATTGCATTACTGGAGGTGTTTATTTCTTCTCTCTCCAACTGCAGCTTTTCCTCATTGATCGGATTAAATTACAAGAACTGTAGAGGAAATCTCTCCAGGATGTTTTTATTGAAACTTTTTACAATTAAAAAGAGAGGTTAAAACCAGGTAATAAAACCAACTGAAAATTCCAATTATCTTTTCATCATTTGCAACCATATGCTACAGTCATGCACCTGTATAGAGAAAAAATAATTAAAAAACGCATTATAAAGACAATATTAAAATGCTAAGTACTAGCACAAACATATGGAAAATAATAACCTTTTTATTTTCCTTTCATGTCTTTCTTTCCTTCTTGCATTTCTCACTCTCCTGTCTTTTGTACAAGATTATTAAGCTCTTTTGACTAGGCAGGTCCCTAATAGAAACTCTAGAAGGGCCCCACAAAGCAGAGCAAATGCCCAGAGGAGCTTTGGTGTAGATAAATGGCAGGGAAAACTTCATTGAGAGGAAATCCTCATCTACATCATCCATGCTGAATGCTGAACTTGGAACTGGTGGTTGCAGCTCTGGAAAGATCCCTCAGACTCAGCCAGGCAGTTTTCTGAAAACACTGCTGTGGGGTAGAGAGACAGTAAAAATAAAAGCCAGGGCAGTATTGGGTGTGTCAGGAGAGGCATGAAAACAAGGAAGAAGGTGTCATTCTGTCTCCACATAAAACTCTGGTGCACCCACAGCTGGAGGGCTGGGATGTTTGAGGCATTCCCATCTCCAGGAGGATGGCAAAGGAGTTTGCAAAGGAGCAGAGAGTAAATGGCAACAAAAACAACCCAGGGGTGAGCCAGCTGCCTTGCCAGGAGAGGGCAAAAGGCTGGGACTTGGACTTGTCAGTTTCCAGAGAAGACACCTGAGGTAAGGTGTACTTGACATTTACAAAAGCATGAAGGTGAAAACAGAACTGTAGTTCAAACCCTGCACTATGGAAACTGAGGGATGACCCATGAAGCAAGTAGGAAGGTAGTTTAAGACAGACCCTACCTTCAAAAAAATACTATATGCACACACTAGATAGCAAACTGTGGAGGCCAGTGGGCTGATTAACAAAGGATCCACAGCTCTCCCTTGGAGGGAAAGCTCCTAGATGAGCTCACTGTCAGGGCAACAAAAGGAGTTGCCCCCAGCATGCCTTACAGCCCATGCAAATTTTATGTATGGCATGCAAATTCTATGTATCCTGTTGGTCCTTCCCCTTTGCTCCACCCCAAACCCTCAGCTGACTGGTCCTGATGCTCCTATATAAACCCCTGTTTCCGTCTGACTATCTGGAGTTTTTTGTCCCTGATACCTTCATGGTAGCTGGAGTTCTCCTTGTTCCTGGACCAAGAATAAAGATTTCTTGTGGAACACAACACAAGGCTCCCATCCTGTGTTGCCCAGACATTGCCTGATGAGCTCCAATCTCTCAACAGCCCTTTCCAGGGCTCAGAGCTGTGATCACTCTGCAGGGCAGAGAGTGCCTGTGCGCCCCATGTCCTTCCAAGGACACTTCTCTGGGAAGATCACAGCACCTGGACCACTGCCCAGGCTGTGACAGCAAACTTTCTGAGAACTTGTTGCCACAGGAAGCTGTGGACACCAGTAATACCAGGAGGCTCAAAAAGGAATAAAAGAATTTCAGGGATGACACATTTTTATAAAAAAAACCTCAGGATGGAATAGGCAGGGGTGTGCTGTGGAGCAGGCGTGGTACAACAACAGTAGGTGCTGGGGAAGTGCAAGGGTTGCAGGCTGTGACCAGGCCTTCATTCACTTTCAAAGCTGTCTCCTACTGCCACTGCTCTGTTTTCATTTTCAAAGATGAAAAGATTCAGTTTTCACTATTTGTACAGTCAGTTCACTATATTGTACAGTCAGCTTCTCCACATTCAGGTGAATCCCAAGAGTCAGCACATCTGGAATTCAAATAATATCATTACCCAGGAAGGCCATGCTATTGATCTCAGTCTTTCCACCTGGGTAAGGAGGGCTAGGTGAACCCATTAGGGCATTTCTTATGTTCTCAGCCTCTTAGTTTTATTCCATGTTTCATTTTTCATTCCAATCTTTGTCCTTTATTTTGTCCTCATTCTGCCACCAATTTATTTTCCAAACACTACTTATGAGGTTTAAGATACCTAATTTTTCTTACTGCATTTCCCAGATCACTATTCTATTAATGTGCAGTAATGCAGTACAAAGCTGACAAGGCTTGCAGTTGAAGGCTTCTAAAACATAGGTATGGCTTTACCACTTATCCTATAGGCTCAGGGTAAGCTAAGCTTGCCACATTTTATAACTTTAGAAGAGAATTCTAATTCTGTAAATAATTATTTACTATTTCATCATGTTTTCCACCCAGCTTTTTTATTTTTCCCCTGGTTTTCTCAACCTATTTTTTTCAGATGGGGAATACCTTCACAGAAGTGTGAACACCCTCTGCCTGACCATTTAGTTGCTTCCTGCTTCCTTCTCCCTCCTATGCTTTCCCTTTCTGGAGTATTATGCTGGCATTACATGATTATTCACACCCAAATTTCCAGGGTTTTTTTATACTTCAAGAGCAAAACCACCTGCAATGGAAAGAGTTGCTTTTGACTTTCTGATTCAGACTGCCCAAGTAACCATTGAGAAAATTATTGTAAACTTTTACCTGCAGGAATCCAAGCCATAGATGGTTTGCAACAGATCTTTGAAATTTAGCAGGAGAAAAACTCGTGGTGGGCAAAGGTGTAAGGTTTACCATGTGCCATGAAATTCTATTCAGGTCTGTCAGAGGGGAAAACTGGGAGAAAAATGCCAATTTTGCTTGTTTGCAACAGTACTCTGACAGCCATCCAAGGGGACTGGCCACAGGCATCCTCATCCCTGGCAGTGTCCACAGCATTCACATTGTGCTGGGAGCCTGACTCTCTGGCTGCAGCTGAAAAGCTGTTGTGAAAGTGAAGTTTGGAGACAGCAGAGAGAGAAAAAGACTGCCAGACTTTATAACAGCTCTCTCTAAACCCAGTACATAGCATGTCTCTGATCACTCCCTTCATGGGCTCTCCTTTATTTTGAAGAAATTTGAGCCATTCTCCCTTGATGATCACCTGTGCACTGCACATGGCCCAAATCTCAGCAGTGAGTCCTTGGGGCCTTTTCACTTGGAAGGAAGAAATGCTTCTACAAAGGCAATTTTTTTTCCTTGGGAAAAGGCACTTGTGTGCTAAGTGCATGACTATTTTTGTGATTGCTGCCCTATTTGCTCTCACTATTGGAATGTCAGTGGAGAATATAACAGAAGGTGGCAAGAAGTGGGAGAAGGATCTTGATGTAAGGAGAGGAGAGCGACACATAGGTGAGCAAATTGTTATTTATGTTATAGTAATGTGTGGTCCCCAGTGATGCTTTGCTCGGTGTCTTTACATCAGGCCAATATGCTCAGCTTCAGGGTTTTTTGGGCCACCAGTGCTCATCTGGAGACAAGACTCACCCTCAATTTTCTCACAGCACCAGGTGTACAGCATCATCAAACAAGACCATTTCTCTGGTCTTGCACCAATGCAAAATATGTTATCATAGAAACAGAGGAAAACGAAGGTTCATAGAAATACGTAAACACTGTCTAAAGAGCTGCAAATGCCTCTTCTAACCTCATCTCACTCATGATGACTGCTAATCAGAAGCTCTGTCTGATGCTGGTGATGTCCTTAGGACAAAGAATCCAAAATCTAGCAGAGCTAAGTTCTGAGGATTTTATTTTTACAGCAATTTAAGAAGGACAAAACTTTATGAATAATTAATTTTTCTGTGAGGAAAATAGCCAGAAGTAACACTTGTTGCTGACAGTCCACCCAGACTTCTGTCCTGTAAGAGGCACAGGGACAGAAAAGCATCTCTGAGGCCAGCCCAGAGCAGAAATGCACACTGGTGTCCTTCCCATGGTGTCCACCATTCAGATCCCTCAGATCCCTTGCTGTTTGAGCTCTGTGAGGATTTTCCAGTGCCATGGTGTCCATTTTGTGCTCCATACCCACAGACTTCAGCTGTGCCTGTGCTCAGTCATTAAAGGTCAGTAAAGGACACCTCTTAGACTGGAAGCTTGAGTTCAGTCATAATAATTTATTATTTCAAATGAGAGCCAGACAGGGCCAAGTATTTTCTCCTTTAAGAAGAAAGGAGATGCTGTCTAGAAATCTTCTAAGTACCTATTTACAGCAATTGTCAGATCAGTGGGTAAATCCTACCTGAAGTGGAAAAGCTGTGACTCACATTATTGAGAGGTTTGATTTGGGTTGTGTTGTCCTTCCTTTGGTGCCTTTGGTTGGAAGTATGACGATAATCAGGGAGCAGATGTTGCCCAGAGTAGCTGTACCTGTCCAGAACCATGTCAGCTCAAGGATGTGAAGGGCACAAAGACCAGGAATTAATTATGTACAAGGAAATGCACTTGGCTTGTCTCTGCTGTACAGATACAGCCAGTGCCCAGCTGGTCAGATAAACCAAGATTTTGACAAACTGGTCAGTTCTGTTTTCTCATCCTGTAGGTTTCTAACAAAGAATCATATACAAATAATCTCATTAACTTTAGACCTCAGTGGTCTCCATCTGAGCTAATTGCATGGGCTTCCTTTACAGTCAAAAGACAGAGATTATTCTGAGGCATAATCAGTCTGGATATGCTGGGGAGGCAGCAAGGAGCCCCAGCAAGTTTCCCTCAAAAAAATTAGAGATTTTTTTTTCCTTTGATCTTTCAAAGGGGGATGCTTTAAACTCTTCTGTTAATATAGTAATAGATGCCCTAAAACAAAAGGAGAAGATTACTAGTTTTTGAAAAAGTAATGAGAAAGGTATTTTTTTCTTGTCTGGCTTTCACAGAAATGAAAAAATGTCTCCTCGGTGTTTCTGTGTTCTGGAAGCAGCAGGCACTATAGAGTTTGATAAAGATCTGTCTGACTTGGAGTGTGAGCTCCTAACAAGAGCAGTGCAATTTGTAGCCTGTATTTAACAACTGGTTCAAGCCAGAACCTCTTAAAGACAAGGTTCTCAGCAACTTCCCTCTGCATCATGAAATTAAATATTAACATAATAAGGAAGTTCAGTTCCTAACCTAATCTAACTTAATGAACAAGCACATGTTCAATTAGGCTCTGAGGTACTCTGCACTGATTCATGGAATTGGAAATATCTCCCAGCGTATCAATACTCCTGCTGTCAGATGGCAGCAAGTCTGTTAGCTCCACTTGTGCCACGTCCTGAAACGAATTCATCTCAGCCTGCTGCGGCTGTCAGAATTTCTCAGGTGAAATGGCAGTGCTGGAACTTCTCCTCTGGACAAAGTGTCACGTATTCCTCTGCATCTGTCCACCTGGTGTGTCAAGTTTGTCTCTGGCCACAGGGTATTTCTTACAACATTATTGCTGTTTGCTGTCACTGCTCTTCATTATAGGCATTCCCACAGTTGTTTCTTAGAAAATGGTGACAGCTCCTGGTATCCCAGATTATGCTTCCCTTTTACCTTCCCCCACCTCGTATTTTTTCCCCTGTATCTGCTGGTTGCTATGACTTTGACGTGAATTCCCAGAAAGCACTCAAGTGCAGGTACTCTTGTTTTCAGTTTTCAGTTGAATAAAATGTAAGCAAGTAACAAGTCATGTTACAGTGGTACCACTCCATTATTAACAGCACTAAGTACAGATCAGAATTGGCATCCATTCCTGTGTATTCTTCAACATTTTCTTCTGGCCTGTAGAAGCTGGAGATGATGGAGGTTATGGTTATATTGACTAAATTTGTATTTCAGAACAGAATGGTTAAGCAGGACCCCAATAAATGTCAGACATTCCTGTATCAGGCCTAGCATAAGGGCTCAAATTTGGGATGTCATCTTTCTAAGCTGGTGTCATTTCTAGCAACACTGTTCCAGGAAAATGAGAATACTCTCAACACACATCTAGGATAAGGGACTGCTGACTGGAGATTTTCCTTTCCAGCCAGGACATGCAAGCTTGCTTCTCCTTTGCATTGGGAACAAGTACTTGCTGTATCATATGACAAGTCTTACCACTTCCTTGATGAATTCATTTGTTTAGGATAAGGACAAATCTCTATGCCATTTTCTTAACATTTTCAATCCCTAAATGAATTTCCTTTGCTCATTTTATAATTTTTCAATGATATTTTAGAAATGAGCACTCCAGTCTCTTTAAGCATCCATCTCACATTAGGAGCACCCCCCCAATTCGAGCTTGATAAAGATTATCAGTAAAGACAGAATAACATACTGGGCACAGTATGTAAATAGTTTTAATTACATTTTGTAAAAAACTTGTTTGTAAGAGCAGGTTTGACAAAGAAAGTCTGTATTCTGAGTTTACTGTTGGGTTTTTTTATCTCCTTGATTCATGTAAAATCTGACTCTGGACCTTGAACCACAGCCCAGTTTTCAAGTGAGTGAGTGTGCTTGCAGCCACCAAAACTTTCCTAGGTTTGCATTTAACTTGCAAATCATATTTCTGTAGCTGAATATTGTCATTTTAAGTACTATTTTCCATGTCTTTTTCAGCTAAAAGTTATCTCTGGGGAATGAGAGCATGAACCTTTTTAGTTGTGCAACTATTGACACCCACATGCAGCTCAAAGAGAATCAAAGAGTCATAGAATGGTTTGGATTGGGACCTTAAAAATCATCTCCTTCCAGCTCCCCTGCCATGGGCAGGGACACCTTCCACTAGACCAGGTTGCTCAGAGCTCCCTCCAACCTGGCCTTGAGCACTTCCAGGGATGGGGCAGCCACAAACTCTCTGGGCAGCCTGTGCCAGGGCCTCACCACCATCACTGTTAGAGAACTTGCACCATTGTCATTCTTGGAGTGGGTGGAAGAAAACTTTATGTTGTGATTACTTTCACAGGCCTCTTTCTCCTTCAGCTTCTCAAGAGCTTTGTCACTGGCAGTGGCACTTGTTTCTTGAGTGCTTTGCTGTGTCCTCTGCTCTGCAGAGTGCCAGGCTTAGAAAGCTGGTTCTGGCAGCTCTGTCAGGCACAAATTTGCATGCAACATTTGTCTCTCCAAGGAATCTTTAAACCCTTTCTTGTCTGTCAGGCTAGGTATACTAATGATAACATCAACCTCCCTCGTGTGATCATTTCCTAAACCATTCTAGAAAATGAGATGGATTAATGAAGACTTATTATTTAAATTGCTGAAGGTACCCAGCTCATTTTTGACTGAACACAGTAGCTTCTGCCACGACTGCTACAACCAGAATGGATGTTCACTGGTCCCTAAGCATCCAGCACAACCCAGCTGTAAGATTTTATGCCTGTTCTGTCCATTGTGGTCTTCAGTGAAGTTACACTCTTAGTTTTATTTTTGGTCCTGGGCTTTATTCTCTAAGCCTGCAGAGCCAAGATGTTTGAGCGATTCATTCCTGTCTGGTTTCTCTCTGGCTGCCATGGCTTAACCTGGCTCTGTGCACCAGCTCTTGGCATTTTCCAGGGCTCTGGAAAGCTGTGGTTCTCTGCCCTGGCCGCTTTACAGCTGCTACTGTCGGCTCACAGTGGCTGTGGCTCAGAAAACGTTCAGGTCTTGCACTTTGAAGTCTCTGGATGTCACTCATAACTAATCACTCGTCTCTGGAACGTCCTCCCCAATGCTGAAAGTGTTTACAGAAATAATTTGCTGCGGATAGGCAAAAAACTGCTGGCAATTTAATAGTAATTAAAAAATTTCCATTTCAGCACTTGAATATTTCCATCTTCAATGCAAAAACATCACAGGTCTCTGCAGCTGTCACCCTCAGCAGACCACTGTGCTGTTACTCAGCATACCATGCTTTTATCAGAATTACATTTGGAATAAAAAGTTAAAGTTTTAAAAAGAACTTCTGCTTTTTGTTTTCTTGTAAGTTTAACCTCTCACTTCAAATATGAGGAAGCTGGTAACATTGTTTGCCCCATTTCTTAGATACTGAATTATGCATTTGCCTGATTTTTTATTTTACCTTTTCCTCTTTATTCTCTGATTTTCCATGTTACACAAATGACACAGTAGCCCTAAATATAGCAGAAGATTGCTCATGAGACTCTCTTAAATTAATCTTATTAAAATAATTGATTAAACTTGGTTCTTGACTAAAAATTAAATCTTCCTTTTTTCCTCTTTGTTTGACTCAAGGTCAATTTTAAGCACCTTTGTCATTCTTCAACAGATAGGCTCAATATTCTGGAAAACATTTTGAGGAGAAATAGCACAGAGAAAGAGCACAGAGAAAGCTTGTTCCCACACAGTTCTAAACCTCTAGGGTTCAATTCTGTGGCATGGTGAAAGATCACATGTATAATCTGCTCCTTAAACTTGGGACCTCTAATATCTAGGGCTAAGTGTGTGTTTAAGTATCTGAAAACTTTGTGTTGTCTGTTTACCTGAGTCAGCCCTCTGGATGGTGATAAATAAATTCAAGTACCCTGTGAAAGCATGCCTGGCTCATTTTCAACCACTACGGTAAAAAGACCTTTCTCCAAGGGGGAGATAATGCAGGGGAAATACTAACTGAGGAATCCACCACCAAATTCAGTATATAGCCTGCCCTGGATAATTTCTTTGCTGCTTCTTCTCACTGCTGAATAACAAGCCTTTAGAGAGCGGACTTTCAGGTCATGTTGGCTGGACATAAACATGAAGAAATTATTACTCCCAAACACATTTCTATGTATTTTTTCTCCTGTCTTCCTAATACACTTATGAGAGGGATACTAAGTGAAAAGTTATCTTTACAGTATGATAGGCTGTTGCCAGGAACTCAGCATGAATGATCAAACAATTTTACTAATCTGTTTTTAATGCAGCATACAGAGGTAAGGAAGAATTGTGTCCTACACAAATACAACACAAAATCAGAATAATATTTTCTGATTCAAGTATCAGCATGTGGAAAAGAAAAGAAAAAGTTTGCTCTGAAGTCAGCCATTTAGATGCTTTGGCAGAGAGAAAGTCAGAAGTTCTGCTGAAATAAGGAAAGAAATAAGTAGAATATGGAGATCAAAGCCAGCCTACACTGTAGGATAACCAGCTGTCATTGGCTGGTCTCTCTGTGGTGCATTTATTTAAATACATATGTATTAAAATAGTAATTGTTCTACATTCCTAAAGCTCTCTCTCTTCTATTTGCATATTGGTCTTGCATAATTTTGAATGGGACTAAATTGCTTCACTAATTTTGACTAATATTTTAAATGAAGCTGCCAAAAAGTTACAACCCTAATTTACCTAATAGATTTGCTTCTATGAACTTTCCTCCAAGCTATTGCCTGAGTAAATATATTAAAAGTTCAAGTGGTGTAATTTATCTCAGGGCTTCTGCAGTTGGAGTACTGTGCAATGCTTCATGTAGTCAAAAAACAATGCAGTTAAGCATTTATTGTCTAAAATGACAATACTGGAACAAACTGTTCAGATTCTTTAATTATGTTAAACATGTTAAGACCTTGAAATTAATATCTGCAGCATATGAGTGCTTTAATACTACCAAGTTCTGAATTTGAGAAGGAAGATACACATTTGACAAAAAATGTTTATATACATGATTACAAGGACCATTTAAGGGACAGGAAACAGTGGGGGCTATTGAGACAGAAACCAGGAAAATGAGTGGTATAAAACATTTTTTCACCAAGAACATTTGGTTTCTCATGAGAATTTCCCCCAGCCCAGCATTAGAATGGTTAAAGTTGAACCCAAACATTTGGCAACTGTGCCCTGCTTGGAAATATTTATAGAAGGCTAATACTTAGCAGGTGGTAAAATTTTCCTACCAAGAATCTCCAAGCATTTTACAAAACGTTAATAATCAGGCTTCATAAAAAATTAACGCGCAGCTTTTCCAGATGTGCCTGCTGCTGGAGGCGGGTGGTGCAAAGCTGTGCCTCTCCTCAGTTCTCCCTGTTCCACCCAGAAAAGAACTCCTTGGGCAGCTGTCAGAGTATTCAGGGATGTGCAGAGGAGCAAGACGCTGCTTGCTCAGTGCTCACGTACCCTGGCTTGTGATGCTCTGATGGAGGCATCGAAGAAACCGCCAGGAATCAGCACTGAGGCAAACAGACCTGGCAAATCCGTGATGTTGTTAAGCACCACCTGCACTGGAGAAAGGAGAGAGATTTGGAAAGGTTAGGAAACTTACTGAAGGTTACACTGCCAGTAGCTGGCAGAGCCGGAGCAAGAATCCAGTGTTGACTCTGAGTCTTGCACCTGCATCACGGGGCTGGCTTTTATTCCAGGGAGCTACGGCTCAAATGGGAAATGAGAGACACTGCGAAGGTATTAGACAGCTGAACAGATTGTAAGTGCTCTGGACAATCTTGTGATTACAGCCCTTGTGAGCTTTGCTTAACTGCTGGGTAAATAGGATTAAACAATTATGAATAGGTACAAGGCACCTAAGAGGATATAATGTGGTAGGAACAAACACTTTTCTATCAAGGAAAATGCAAGATTTTCTACAGAAATGAGTAATAAAAAAATTACTTAATTTCTGAAAAATTCTTTGTGGGAACCTGTGAAAAAAGCTAGCTGTTGTGGAGGAAGAGAAAGTTGTTATAGAAACACAGAGAGACAGATACGGAAATGTCAGAAGAAGTGGCAGAATGGCCTGAGGCTGAGTACCAGTACTCGGTGATTAATGTAATTTGCAATCTGTAAAAGAATGATCAGTGAGGTGGCAACATTTGCAATACGACAAAATTGTCTGGGATAATTAAAACAAGACAAGAGCAAAGAACGCTATGGAGATAGCTAAGCTAGGTCACTGAGCATCAGATGAAAATTAATGTGGGTACTGCATTTTGGAAGAATTACCTGAACTGCTGTCAGAGGTCGAAGTTAATGGCAACCAGTGAAAAAAAATCTGAGTGAAAATGTCAGTGCAAACCTAGGAGTGGCATTGAAGAATTTACGGATTCATATGGAAGAAACCAGTGGTGTGTTTATTTAGAACCTGTTAATTCTAGTTATCACATGAAAGGAATGAGTGGCCTAAGCATTTAGAAGCAACTGGGAGGAATGACATGGAAAAATTTCCATATAAAGGATTTTCATGTTAGGATTATCTAGATAAGAAGTGAATATGTAGCTGTAGAGTGCACATTAAAAAAGTTAAGGGAAGATATTTCATGTTCTTATATTTTTAATTGTAATACAAGAGCAAAAAGATGTTCAAACAATCCAAACATCAAACAAAAAAAGATAAAACTTATATTTAACTGAAGACAGAATGGATAATAGGTAGAAATGGATGCAATACTGCACTATACTTCTGAGGCTGGGAGTAGAACCAGATGGAGGAATGTAAAATGTCCTCAATTAGAACATACTACACAATGCATAGAAGTGAAGAGAAAGGATAGTAAAAACAAGCCTTAAAATAAGGAAATGGAGTGGCTATTTCATCTTTGCATTAAAAAACTGGATTTTGTCTCCCTCATCTGAAGCACCAGGGACTGTCAACAGCTGCTGACATGATCTTAGATGAGCTACTGTCATTGAGTCTACCCATTGGGAAGTCAAAGGTGCTAATTAGAAGAATCAATATGAACAATAGAAAAAACAGCAGATTGTGCCACTTTCATATTTGGGATAGTCAGATGCTTCATTCTTTTTAATCAGGGAGTTTATTTGCACAGGGGGTATATAAAATTGACCATAATAATTAGTTTAGGCAGTATGCTTATACTTAGATTCAGGTATTTCTGTTTATAAGGAATGCTTTTATGGTTATTTTCAGTCTCAGTCAGCAGGAGACAGTCAGTGTATAGGCACAGAGTAGTTCCTTTATCAGCATTGAGGAGCACATGACCTATATAGCCCTGCCATCTGCCCATCTCTTACGCCAAGGTAAATCTGCCTCACTAAACTACTTCACAAAAGAAAGGAAATGCAGCTAAGGCAAATTTATTAATAACCAGAAATCCTCAACTGTCCTATGAGCATCAGAACAAGGATCAGAACAAAGTGGTTTTGCTGTTGCACCATGACCACTTCTGTAGCTATCTGAGCAAACCAGAGGTCAGAAATATTTCCATTTAAAATAAACAATCATTTGCAGAGTAGAGTTATCCCACAGAGCCATGAAGACTCCTGTCTCCATCTTTGTTTTCTTCCTGTCTTAGTGGCTGGGTTTTCCATCCTGTAGAGAACAACAGAATGTGCCTGAGGTGTGCCCCAGCTCATTATCCTGCCCTTTTGTGCTGCTGAGTTTGTGTCTTTTCCATTTCCCTAATAGCGTGTATGTCCACAATGTAAGAAGTCTCATGAGCTGTGTCCAGTCAATTGATCTTAAATTTTGATGGGCTCAATGCAATGTCAAATAAAGGCCATAAATCTCCTGGAGGACAGCTTTGACTTTCTGATATAATCAGAATAGAGGCAAAAATTAAGCAGCACAGATGTAATTCTTTAGCATATATTCTCTTCAGAAAGAGATTCCCATGTCATGGGAATGTGCTGTCCAGCCAGAGTACATTACTAAAGGGACCTGTGTGGTGACCTGAGTCCTTTTGGTCACATAAAACTCAGCGGCACCTCAGGTTAGGGGCAGAAGTGACTGCCCTGGCTGCCAAGCTGTGAACCCCCATTTGCCTGGGGCTGCCTCTAGGTGAGTTAACTGGGTGTAGATAACAAAGAGTTCCCCCACCCAGGTGTTGCAGGAGCCTTTCACCCCACCCTGCTCTTACTTAAACATCTTATTAAAAGTAGTCACCTTGCCCCCATGAAAGAATTATATTTCAGCAGAACCTTGAAGAGTTTAGATTTTTCTCATAATGATGGCTTGTTTTTAAAACATAGCTCAATTAGCACTTAAAGAGTTGCATTTAAGTAGCTTGCTGTAGCTCTTCAGTCCACATCTATAGCCTTTTTTTCTTTTTTTTTCATTTCTCCTGAAAAACAACTGGTTCCTATCTTCTACTGTATTATCCAGTATGTAGGGACTTCTGCTGAGGATGTGCCAGTGTTAGAGCTTCAGGAGCGCTCAGCTGACAGCTGCACCATGGCAGCTGAGCTGGGACCCCTTTGCTCCCCTGCCAGAGCTGATCATCCTCCACTGCTGTGCTCCAGAGGCAGTGGAGTTTGCTCAGACTCCACCAGGGTGAAGGAAGGAGATGCTAAGCAGAGGAGAAGACATGGGCATGTGTCTGCTCAGGCATTTGCTGCTCTACAGTGTGAAGTGCACTCTGCCAAAACACCAGTTAGTATTTCCACAGCATTCCTGAAGCCATAAAAGTGTCATTCCATACATCCTCAGGTGTTAAAGCTTATTTAGAAATACCTTCATCCCCTATGTCATGTCTCTTGCTCTAGAGACCTGAAATTGACTGGACATAAGCTGGTAAATTCTAATTTAGGGATGTTCACAGCTGAGCTCCTTAAATATGAAGGGATTCTGCTTTAAGAGCTTGGTCTCCTGTTATGGAAAGAAGGCTTATAGTTATACCTAGCCTTTTCTTAGTTCTGTACTTAAAACCATTTCTTAAAGTTCTTCAGAGTTAATTTCAGGTTTTTAGTACTCCTAAGCTCTCTTTGGTCCAAAAATGCATAGCTTTATTCTGTAGTTCTACCTATAAATAAAAACATTTTTCTCTTAATCCTGGTGTCTGTGATAATCTGTTTGTATCAATCCTGATCAAAGGTACACCTTTGAACTTTGGAACATTTTCTAGAGAATATTTCCATATTTGTCTGTGTGCCTAATTCTGATTTTTACCTAATTTCTCATGTTTTTATCATACCTCCCTACAACCCCTTCTCTCTCTGCTCAGTTTATCCCACAGCCTGCATGAATCTCACTCTGCCAGTGTCTGTCTTGTCACACTTCACTCCCACTGCCAGGACCTTCTCTTTAATGGACAGTTCAGGTTCCCAGAATTTCCTAATTTCCCTCTGAGCAATCTTTTCGGAGAAATACCGCCCCTTTTAACTCAGCCATTACCACCTACCAACAGTAAGGCTTTGGGAATTCTTTTTTAAGCTCTACCTTTGTTGCATTTAAACTCCATTGGTTTTAATAGCCCAGCCATTAAAAAGTCAGAGAGTGAAAGCTGTAAGAATAACACACCGAATCTTACCTTGGCTATTAAGGGAGAGTGGTTTCTAAACACGAGAAATAATGTCAGTGAGACACTGCCTGGGGCCCTGGAAACACTCCAGCCCACAGTGTAGGAGTTTTTTCAGGGTGGCAGCGGGGTGTGTGCCATTACATCCCTACCCATGGTTCGGCTTAGATCGCAGCTGCCTGGCAGTGCCAGGGCCAAATGGCACAAGCAAGAGGTCAGAGCCCAGGATAATCAGTCAGTCCCCTGATATCAGGGTGTAGTAAGGGAATTTCAGCCTCTTTAGGGCCACATGTGCTGTTCAGTTCACTCTTGCCTCTCCCTTTGCCTGTCCCCTCTACTCACAGGAGAGTCTCTCATGGTGCCACAAAGGCTTTTTTATGACGGAGTGATTAGAAGATGAGTCTCACCTGCTCTGATTAGATCTGGTTCAGCAAGGTTAAAGCAGCTGCTTTAAAGATTGTCTGGCAGACTGGGGAAGGATCTCCTGTTTGTCTGTCTGGGCTGGCTTCAGACAATCCCCTCCCAGAAATCCAGCTGGTTTGATAAGAATTCCTGACAGCCAGGCCCTGAGTTCCCTGTTTCTGGCTGGCTTAGCCTTCATTCAGCCTGACTCTTGTCATCCAAGCTAGGGGATGTTTCCAACTTGCTGAGCACTCAAGAAACCCCTGGCCAGAAGTGCTGTTAGGACTTTTGTTAGACAAAGTTGTAAAATGGGGTAAAATGAGGGCTCCAGACAACCTGCCTGTTGTTCCTGTGTCAGATGTGCTGTTTTGTGAGGCACCAGCTGAGTGAATGTATCCTGCAAGTGAAGGTTGAGCTTCTCTATAGTTTGTGAATAACCAGGAGTGGCATTTCTGAACGGGGGGCATAGTTAATGACTTTCAGCGAGATTCTTGAAGTCCAATGATTGTTAAGGACACCCCAGTTTAGGCTGCCAGGAGTCTGCACAGTACTTCAGAAGAAAAATGTAGTTAAGATTAACATTTGTCTATAAGTATTTGGTAACTCGGTGTATAAAGGAAGCAGACAAATTCTACTGAGAATTGAAACTTTTAAAATAATTTTCTTCCATAACTATATTGCAGGTTATTTTATTGGGAGATGCTGTTTACACAGAAATAAAAGTATGTAATCTCAAATTTCATACCAGGCTATTTAATTTCATAATGAGCAAAGAAAAAAAATTGAAATATACATAGAATAAGTTGTTTGTATCAATGTGAAATGGCAAAATACTAAACCAAATAGTCCCCTAAATAAACAGCCATGGATGAAACCCTGTGCTTAAAAGTCAATTGCTTTTTGATGAGGCTGGAAAAAATGTTGTTTTTTCCTCCAGCCCAAGTACTGTCAAAAAGATATTCAAATATACATGCTGGCTGGCTGTATGGGAGGAAGATTGCTACAAGCCTTGCTTATCTGGGTATTTGTGATGTATGCAGCATGACATCACCTCAAAATGTATTGCTGGCAGTAATGGAACTTTGTAGAAGGTATTGAAGTTCCTGTTTATATTGTTTAATTTTTTCTGATTTATCCACTCTGCTTGGGGATTCTTTTGTCTAGCAGCCTTGGTGGTGTTTTATGTGTCTGCTATCATTGGAGATATAATGGTGAGCATTGCTAATGGGCAGAGTGAGGCGAGTGCCAGCAGTATTTACAGTATATTTACACTACTGGACAACTTGCAGGTTATCTATTCACTATTAACCTGCCTAATATCCAAGTGCTAAATCAGAAGAGGGCAGTAAAGGAGAATTACATGGGAGAGGTAACAATGGGGAAAATATTATTCCCTAAGGAAAAATACTCAAACCTGTATGCCTGGCTTCATCCAGACTACAACTGTTTACTCTTCCCAGGACTTGAAATTAAAAAAGAATGCTTTAACGTCACAATTCTCATCCCAGAAAGAAGAAGTAGGTTTACAGCAAATAGAAGCTGGTAGCTACACAGAGAAAGAGGTGGGGAGGAAGAAAGGTGCATCAGATATAACAGCTTGTTAATTCAGGGATGGGTAGAAGTGAGTCTCCTGGAACTAAGGGTGGTAGAGTTTAAACCAGGGCGAGGAGATGTGCATCCATGGACATCAGTCACTGTGTGAGTGCTCTTTGCCAAACATCTTCTGCCTTCCAGGACAATGAGTTAACAGTGCTGTGTTTCATGGCATTGCTTTGAGATGTCATTGTTAACTTGGTTGGGCGCTGTGCTGGGTTTGCATGGCCTGGTTTTGAAGCAGGGGGACTACAGGGGTGGTTTCTGTGAGAAGGTGCTGGAAGCCTCCCCCATGTCCAGCAGAGCCAATCCCTGATGGCTCCAGGATGGAGCCGCTGCTGGCCAGGGCTGGGCCAGTCAGAAGAGGCAGTAACACCTCTGGGATAACAAATTCAAGAAGGAAAACAAGTTCCAGTGCAGATGTAATTGCAGGCAGAGAGGAGCAGGGTGAGAACATGAGAGGAGCAGCCCTGCAGACACCAAGGCCAGAGCAGAGGGAGCGGCAGGAGCTGCTCCAGGGGCTGGAGCTGAGATTCCCCTGCAGCCCCTGGTGAGGCCGGGGTGAGGCAGCTGTGCCCTGCAGCCCCTGGAGGGCACAGGGATGCAGAGATCCACCTGCAGCCCGTGGAGGGGACCCAAAATGGAGCAGGGGGATGCTGAGAGGAGGCTGTGAACCCATGGGAGGCCTGTGCTGGAGCAGGGTCCTGGCTGGGAGCTGCAGAGCTGTGCAGAGAGGAGCCCACCCTGGAGCAGGTTTCCTGGCAGGACTTGTGACCCTGTGGGGGACCCAGGCTGGAGCAGGCTGTGCCCGAGGGACTGACCCTGTGGGAGAGTGACCCACAGTGATGCAGTTTATGGGGAACTGTTTCCTGTGGGATGGACTCATGCTGGAGAAGTTCATGGAAACAATCTCCCATGGGAGGAATCCCCCACTGGAGCAGGGGAAGGACTCCTCTCCCTGAGCAGTGGCAGGAGCAAGGTGTGATGAACTGACCATAACCCCCATTGCCCATCTCCCTGTGCCACTGGGGGGGAGGAGGGAGGGCTGGGAAAGAGGAAAGGGTGGGAGGAAGTTATTTTCACAATTTATTTTTACTTCTCATTATCCTGCTCTGATTTTGTTGGTAATAAATTCAATTAATATCCCCAATCTGAGTCTGTGTTGCCTGTGATGGTTTTCAGTGAGTGATTTCTCCATGTTCTTAGCTCTTGAACCTTTCACTGTATTTTCTCTGCCTTTCCACCTGAGGAGGGGAGTGACAGAGTGACTTTGGTGGGTGTCTGGCATCAAGACAGGGTCAACCCCCCGCAGTGTTTTTGGTACTGAAACCCAGGACCATGAGGATTTTGAAATAAGGATGGTAACTGGGAGAGATAATGGGCAAAACATGGATTGAAAAAATATTAGAGAGTAGAAAGACCGTAGGGAACTTCTGTTGTAACTTTCTGATGAAAGGACAAGGGGTGGTTTTTGTGTAAATTGCCCATTTTGTTCTGTGCTGCAATGATGTTATTTTGGTTTTTATGTGTGGGGAATTTTTTGCTGGTTTTTTGGTTGGGTTTGTTGACATACATGAAGGTTGTGTGATCACTGTGAATTTAATGATAATTCTTAAATATATGATTCACAGAAATGAGAGGTGAAAGGGGAGACACGAGGGGGACAGCAGGGAGACAGGAGGGTCAACCTACCACAGGTACCCAGACCCCAGTGATTTTATTACCTGATTTCACCTGGATGAGGGTGCAGAGAGCCATAGCCATCATCTACCAGTCCAAAGAGACAAAACTGACTTTTTTTTCCCCTGGGATATATATACATGTATGAAACTAAATCCTTTGAAAAATGATGTGCTGAAAGCACAGTGTATATTTCAATAGTGACTGATTCAAATTCTAACACAGTTGGTAATTTCTTTTGAAAAATTAAATTGCGATCTAGACAAGAGGCTTCTTTGCTGAGTTACAAATCATATTAAGAGATAATTTTTACAAAACTAAAATGATAATCATGACTATTATTATTAAAATGGCATTGCCACATCATAAACCCTCATAAATGCAGTGCTGTATGGTTTATGAAAACATCCATGTAGTTTCCTGTACTCCTGCTATGAAGCATTTGAAACAGAAAGATTTTAACTTTCCATAATCAAAGTTCCACTTTCTACCTCTGGAATTTTTTACAAAAGCCAGATTGGTTTTTTTTTTTTGTTTCCTTCATTAATGTATTTCTTTCAGAAGCCTGGTGTTGCTCTGGCCCCTGTGCCTTAGGATTTGTCCAGAAGCCATCCTGGCAGGACACAGGACACACGAGTTTGTTCATCAGAAGAGGGAAGGTTCTTCTCCACTGAGTCTCAGGCAGGACCTGAGCTTGGGTACTCAGGTTTGTGGATCCCAGGTCTCTTCTGAAAGCAAAAAAATTCTTAATTGAAGAAATGAAGGCTTTATTCAGGTACCATCACACTCACATCCTGGCTGCCCTTGGTATTTGGGTCCTTAATTTAACCTCTGAACTTCACCACCAGGAGATCAAATTCACTTCTGTCTCTGAGTTTGTAGATGTGCACTGGATTGCTGCATTCCTGATCTTATCTCTGGGAAGAAATTGAAGGACCAAACCTTTTCCAGCACAGCTTCTCTCCCCATGGCACATGAACCCCCCTGGAAGCACATCAGGTGCTGCAGTGTCAATAATTATTGCTTTTTTGCAGTCATGCAAGTGTTAGAAAATGGACATTTCCAACCAGTTACTGACTGCAGTAGTGAGAGTGCAGGGTTAGGGAAAGAGCAAGATTCAGCCTGACCCTGCACACTCCTGTCCTCATGTAACCAGGGACACCAATATCTGTGTTTTCTCCTAAAATGGCTGGTGGCTTTGGGCCTGGAGCACACAGGAGCTTGTAATGACATGGCTCTGCTATCCCTGAATTTTCTGTCTGCTGGAACACCATGGAAGCATACTGGCATTTGGCACTTTTAGGTACCCTAATTGCCTTTAGGAGTTATGGATTAATTTGTCTCCTTATTCTTATACCTCATTACTAGATTACACTCCAATGAGAGTCTGCAGTATGTCTTTCTAGGTTGAAAAAAATGAATAGTCCAGTTTAAAGTCTAGGGAGAACACAGTTCACTGCATTTTTTTTTTGCTGCCTAAGCAATTATTTATGCTGTATGAAGTGACAATTATAGGCTGCTCCTGAGAGCAGTTTCCCATATTCACTTGCCCATATCACTGCCTGCAAGGGGCACCAGTGATGAACATGACTGTAAAAGACCCATCAAAAATGTTTTCACTAACACAAGATTACCCCAGACTTTTGCTGGAAAT